ACACACACACAGTTGCAGTCTCCCCCAGCCCCAATGCACCAGGGATTCATAAGCAGGGTGCCGCAATACTGAGATGTCTTGAGATCCTTTCAAAGGTGCTCCATGGTGCCAACATGATTCGCAAGATAAACCCAGAGATTTCAAATAGGAATCCATTGCATTAAAAACATTCTGACCTATTGTGATCTTTCTGAGTCTTCTGCAACAGAAAAACTCCTCTATTGCTTTCCTTTAGTCAAAAAATGAGTGAAAGCACTAAAGAGCCAACATTTTCCAATGGGTGCCTCAGGTCTAAAGAGGGGTTCCCCAAGTCTAAAAAGGAATGAGAACCACTGAACAGGAGCTTGAAAGCAAAGAAAGGTCACCTCTATACAGCCACAGCAAACCAAGGCTGCAGAAAGTGGTACTGGAAGTTACAGTGACTCTATGATTTCCTTCCCACCTCCTTAATCCTGTTGACCATTTATAAATAACTACTTAATGTCAGACCGGAGGTGCTGGGCACTCTCAGCTCCCACTGACGTCAACAGAAGCTGGAGTTACTACACCTCCATCAATCTAGCCTGTTCAGCTGACAAAAGGATCATCCAGGCAGAACTTCCTTACAGATGTACTGCAAGGACTCAGTCCTACAAAATGAATTCTTCTTAACCCAAGACTTGAGTGCTGAATCAGGGAATAGCTTATTTCATAGCCCATTATTAAATGATGGGTTGGTTTGCTGGGAACTAATACTAATTTTTTTTTTTTTTTTTTTAAAGAGAACTCCATTGGATACTTACTGTAAATGCAACATCCATTTGGAAAACAGGGATTCGTACTGTTGACTTAACTCTTTCATTTCAGCACCAAATGTAGGGGGAGCCTTACTCAAGAGGTCACGCAGAGTTTGCTGTGTTAGGGAGGGGAGAATGGGACAGTCATACTGGGTTCAAGTCTGAACAGAAGGATGAAGCAGGTATCTGTTTAAGCATGGGCTCAAAGAACAGAACCCTTACAGATTTTGAGCTCCTCTAGTCCTTTCCATTAAAATGAGGTGTCACAAGTGTCAATGATTTAAGTGTCACAACACCCTGTGAGGTACCAATGTGACCTAGTAGCCCAGTTTTGCTAATAGGGGAAGTGAGGCTGACCAGTCAAGTGACTACCTTTACAAAAGAAATTTGGACCTACCTGGGCATAGAACCAAAATCTATGCCTTAATTGTACTGCTATCCTAGGTCCCCTTCCAATGTCTGGGCACACTGATACTGAACAAGCAGACACATTCACAGCTCTACAGTTCAGTGAAATATAAAGTAGCAAGACAACAACCCTCTTAGTAATGGGCATATCTTGCATCTCAGTCAATGGGCTTTGCATTAATTCATTAGTCACTAAAGGTAGAACGTTTACAAAGTATTACTTTTAGACAGTAAATCATTGAGTTTTAAATACAAAGCAGAAAATATCTGCACAAAGCTCAAAACTAGCCTCTGAGAAAGTGCAGTAAAAAATGCAGGAAAAATGTGGAAGGCTGGTTTAAGTTTTTCAGAGGCCTGTCAAAGCATTAATGTTAAAACTAAGAGGAACAATAATAATTCTAGTAGCAAAACAACTACCGCTGTAGCATCAGGTTTACAGAGACTTAACATCCTCTCTGGTTTTAACATATTTGTTTCCTACTCCCATACAAAAGGAAACTTTACTGGAGAGAAAACTCAGCTGTGATATTTCAGATAAATGTAAAGACACCACTGCAAGACTGAAGTTCCTACTGAATAAATGTTATGAAAAACACGTATGTTCAGATTATCCAGAGAAACTTGACTGGCAACCCTGACACAAAAGTCTGCTATGTGCTCACGGAGCAGATACATCAGTACTACTAACAGGACACAAGGGAAGCATGCACTGCCAACATCTACCTTGATACAATGCATTCAATCCCAAATGAGTATATACTAAATGGGCCACTCAATGAAAGAGTAAAGTGTAGCCAATAGTCAGATGTATATGTCTGGCTACTAGAACAGAACTCATTTCAGAGACAGGGGCCACTGAGAAATTGTCAGATGATCATCCTGTGAGCTGCTCCCTACCTGGCTGAGACCTGAACCTGGAGAGGAAAGTGAGACCTGTATTTCTACCTCCCTCATTAAGATTCTCCTACATTAATATGGAAGGAGTAGGTAGCTTAAAACCAAAAGACAAACAAACAAACAAAAACTCCAGCCTCAAAAGGCTGGCTGGTGGCAGACTTCATCACCATTCCCTGTAACCATTGCCCCTCCCCTACATTCCCAGTTGTGCAACTCTCATCCTGTTTTCAGTAGGCCTTTTTCCTATAGCTTCTCCATTGTTACTACAACTGGTTCAACTCCACTGACTGTCAGAGATGCAGCTGTTCAAATGCTGCTAACCCTTTGCCTAGCTTAAGGCTCCTGCCATTATTATCCCTGAGGAAGTTGAGCTGACATTACCAACAGTGGGGAATTTCAAGGAGGAAAGCCTGCAGTGGGAGAGGCCCTAGATTCTGTGGGCAGTCAAACTCCTCACCACAACACATACCTGATCTAGTTTCCTGCTATGCAGCTTCTGAAGGGTTCGATCAGAGGTTAGCACTTTGGAACTACTGTGGGCTTCAAAGTATTCTTCCACCAGGCTGCTCTGAAAAGGGACAGCAAAAGGTCAATCTAAAGTCAGCTTTGTGCTTTCTTCCCACCCTGCTCTATCTATCTCCATAGGGCTAAGCTGTTTCATTAATATACCACTTGACAGTTACACTTGCTTCTCAGTTGAGAGGATGGCAAGCATCCAGAAGAGAAGCAGATTGAGAAAACTGTCTGCATGAAGGCCTTTAGGCTGTTTCCATATGAACCTTTGGCCAAGCCCTTCTACTCAGGTTACCCCAACTTGAAAGACAGAACCGAGAAAGATGCCTCCTACTGAGCAGAATGAGACAGCAATTGGGATGGGTGGGATCCTCAGTACAGCATAGGGGCTACACAAGTACCAAGGCAAAGAAAATGCATGCTTTCTTTTGCTGGGGAAGAACTAATTTCTGCTCTGATGCTTAGTGTAACGTCTTTGTAGTGCCTGCAAGCTTCAGAAGCTGAGCACTGAGAAACACAGGCAGTCCTCGACTTATGACATTCCGAGTTCCGATGACCAGCACTTACGACCTTTATAAATAGATACCCTGTTTCGAGGTTCTGACACAGGTTTCAACTTTACAATGCTCAATACAGCTAGTAAGTCTGTTGTGGTGGAAAGGAAGGAGGCAGATTAATGCCCTGGCAGCAAAGGAGGGATTGGGGCTGAGGCAAGTGCTGCCTGGCTGGGGGGAGGGCAGGCAGGATTTTCCCACACTCTCCAGCTCTGGTGTCACACATGCATACCCAGGGTACACTCAGAGCCCTGAATTTCTCCCTACTGCCATACTGCTTGTCACAAAGAACAGACTATAGCTTCTTCAACTAGGGGATGGTGTTCTAGGAAGATGGATTTCTGGGAATAGAGGAACCAGCTGACAAAGAGAAAGAAGAGTGTCTTTACACACAGGCTTGCTAATCTAGCAAGGAGAGTTTCAAACTAGGTTTACTGGAGGATGGAAACTAAGGGCATTTATACACATACATTTTTGTGCTCAGATGCGCTGGAGATCTTGTGCATTAGAGCAGACTCAATTAATCAAGTATGCTTTGCATGCAA